TGCAATAGTACAGGACAGATATGGAACATCATTGTTTTTTTAATTATAATAACTAGATCCTGTCCCTGAAAAGATTATATTTAGGACTGGCGCTCTCTAAATTTTCGGTTTCTATCTCTGGGGTGGTAAACTGCCCTCATTCTGCATTCAGAATTCGCACTGCATCAGAACCGCATATGTAGATCATTGCTATTTAAAAGCTTTTTATTCCCTATTACAGGCATTTCTTCTGCTGAGCTAAAGTGGAAAAAATTGTGATACCTAATGGTTTCCAACGAGCATTTACAGATCTGCGAATGTGTGAGCTGAAAATGCCTTCTGAGCACAGATTTTCTCCTTAAATGCATGTGTTGCAAAGCCTTGAAAATAAGCATGATACTGCATCAAAATAGCATTTCAGTCGAGGTAATTTGGTTTACAGCTTAAATCCATACATTTTCTTTTCTGCATGCATTACCAATTTTAGCATGAATTTATAAAACCTGAAATCTATTATGAGCCCCAGAGAGCTGCAAGTGTTGTCCTTCTCAAAGCGTGGAAAACAGCAGCGCACATCTCTCCGTATCAGTGCCTCTTCCACTTGTAGAAACACCATCTGAGACTACCTTTCCTGTCAGTCCTTGACCTCTCCACCTTGTCCATCTCTCAACTGGCAACCTGTCCGGTGGGACACTCGCAGAGTAATTCCACGCAGACCACCTGACAGCCATGAGACAGGAACGATTCAGTGCCTTGAGCCAGGCTGGGCATGTGACTAATAAGCAAAACACATTACAGTCTGCTGCTAATCCCTTGAGCCTCCCAGTTGTTTGTATGCTTCTGGCTGGTACATCTTCAAGAGTCAAGGTGAGGTTTCCACATACAGATTTAGATGAAGAGATTGTGTGACGTGCCCACAGGTGCTTTCTAATCTAGTATCACACTTTTCTCCATATATAATGCCTTCTTGAGTTTCTTTCTTTAATTTTATTTGGAGAGGGTATTTATGTGGGCATTGCTAGAAAATCAACAAACCTAGCTATAAAAGAGCCAGTTTGGTAGAAATGCTGACTCTCAGGTATTTTTCCACTTACAAATTTTCTCAGGCCTCAGAAGTCTGGCTGAAAATTCTTAACTTCACAAAGAAGACTTGAAAATGTTGTGCTTCCCATAAAATTTCAATTTTTTTTTTGTTCAAGAGAAATAGGAGTGCTGATAGGATTGTACTGATCAAACCTAGCACTGTATATTTTATTAAACTTTAAAAATATGTAGACGAATATGAAAGAAGTTTATTATGGCTTGTGATTTAAGGACAGCAATTGCCATCTACAATCATAATGTAGTTTTATTTTATTTGTATGAGTGCTAATTTGGAGCAGAGGGGAAGCTCTTCAAAACACTGAAATGAGCTGGAGCACAGCAATAAAGATACATACTACCTGCAGGCATAAGGAACACAAGGGGTACAGCTCTGTGGGGAAGACAGGAGCAGTGATACAGAGTCTGGTACCACACTCTTTGAAAGGGTACAAATTTCACTTCATTCTGCACCAGCCAGCTCCAGGAGCCAACTGTGCCCCAAACTTGTGCTCCCTCATTCCACTGCACCTTCTTCTTGTTTAAGAGTTTGTTCAAAGCCAAAATACCTATCAAGTGTCAGCAGAAAATGCCCTTCAGGAGCACAGAAAACACAGCAGCTCCATATAATCACAGGACTACAGATTATATAATATGCATTTAACAACTATGTGTACCATGTACTTCACCATGCATGTTTATTTCATTTTTCCGTTATTTCCAGAAACAAGAGTAAATAACTAATGGTGGCAGAGGCCAGCTCACTGAATTTCAATCTCACATTCTACTCTTCAGACACAAACAGGAGTGAGTTGGTCAAGGGACAAAGAAAAAGCAAAGAGAAGGCAAGTTCTTGAACAATATCTAAACATTCCTAAAAATGTAGATATAAAAACTGAGGAGAAAAATAGCATTTGTTAAGTCTCTGCAATATGACTGTAGCTACTTTTCGAAGAATTACACCTAAAATTATGTACCATATTGTAAAAAGAAATATAAGGGCTTCAATCATAATGACTCTCACGTTACAGGAAACACTGACAGCACAGGTCAGGATTTACATTTTTTCTTTTTCACAGATTTTATAAAATGTCAACTCACAAGGCAAGTATGGAGCATAAAAATCCTAGAAGTTCAGCAATCAGTTTTAGTACATGATTAATAACAATAGTCTATTCATATGTGATTACATAAACCGGATATGGAATTTTAAGGGGCAACACTTATCATTCTGTTACCATAAATGTTCATATTCTTATCTCCAAGAAAAAAAAAAAACAAAAAGAAAAAAAAAAAAACAACACCTACAACAAAACAGGAATTACCTGTAGTGAAATTTTATACCACATGGTGTTAAACTGTTCATATCAGGTTTTTAAATTCCAACCTTAGATTCAATTAGCTAAGGAGAAAAAAACAACAAACAAGTTACCCACATTCTTCCTTCTGTGCAGCCATTAAAAAGTGTGACATCCCAAAATCAAGTCGACAATCACTGAGAAATCTGAGGAACACAATGTTGTACTTAGAATATAGCAGAAAAAGAAATGAAACTTTTAGCGGTTCCTTGCAAAAACATATAGAGACACTGGTGTTAGCACAGTAACTCCGTGACTTATTCATGTATAGATGTGAATTATTCAGTATGAAGCCACAGAAAAGTAGACATGAGAACAATTTATCTCACTGGGACCACTCTTTATGGAGGTGATGGTAAGATGATGTTGGACAGCCAACTCTGCTACAACCTGCAGAGCAGCCAAAGGCGCAGCACAGGGAAGGAGCGGTCCTAACGTCCAGAAGACTTCTTGAGTCCCGCAGTAGGAGGAGCTACTTCTTGTCAAATTGCTTCTGCTAGCAGGTCCAGTATAGTCAACAAAGCATGTATGTGCATTCACAGTTTTCACCAGCAGCCTTTCTCAAGTTCCCATGCAGCCCAAAGCATGTGTTTGATAACAGCCAAGCTTAAGACATCTCCAGTTGATCCTTCAGTTAGCCTTTATGCCCTAAATACTAGTAAAGCTTTTTTGCAATAACTAGTTACTCCTTACAAACATAAAACTCATTCCAGTTCCTAATTTTAGCATGTAAGGAATGCAGGATCAGCCCTTGAAAGTTCTTCTTCACCAGAGGCTGCGAAAATCCTCACAAGTCAAACAAACACAATCTAAAAGGAGACATTTCTCTCCCCCTGCCTGCAGAGTCCTTAATCCTCCTACCCCAGGGTGGGTATTGTTGGTCTGAAAGTCCATTGTTGGGACCCGCCAAGACATCATGCATAAGAACTTTGTGTAAAGTCTCTAGCTTTCCATTTGCTCAAGGAAAGAAACACAAGGTGATAACCTGCAGGATTTTCTTTTTCAACAAGAACCCTGATAGCCCTCACAGGTTTGTCTCATCATGTGCAGAGGAAAATGCTAAAGACACACAGAAGAAACTAAAAGTAAAGCTGAACGACCCACCTGTTCTTGAAAATCACTTTTTACTCCTGCAGGAAAAGGTATTTTACATGACACACTTATTATGACAAATTCATTTGAGTTTTGTCATCATACCTGGCTAACAACTCTCTAAGAAAGTTCAGGTTTGGTTTTGAAGAAAATAAAAAATGCCTATAGAGAAGTGATACTGTCCGGTAGGTTTCCTCAAGTATAAGGCTGAGTTAAAAGCTTTTATGTACTCCTTATCTCTAGCAATCATTTATTCCATAGACAGGCCAAGTTAACTCTAACTGTTCTATTTCCAACTGGAAACTGGTTCTTTGAAGCAACCCAAACAGGATGCCCAGCTCACTAAACACAAATACCCAAACAAGTACTGTAACTTCTTCATGCTCTACCTTTGTTTCTGATTTCTCCTAAGTCTTAGGTCCTTCGTACAGCTGGCTTAGGCACTGTATCAAGAGTGTTTAGGGGGGTGGGGACAGGAGAAGGGGAAAGACAGCTCACTGTACGTCAAAGCAAGGCAGCAACCTAGCAACCATATATTAAAAGGTGTGTGTGTTTTTGTGGGTGTCTGTGTGCCAGGAATAACTGAAACAGATATTATTCCATTTGTAATCCAAAAAATGTGAAAAGGCAAGGGGAGAAACTCCAGCTGCTGGTCTATTTTGGGGTCTGTCAAAATCCACTTTCACAAATACAGGATCTTAACACTTTCTATCCCATTTGTCTTAAAAATTAATGCCTGGACCGAAGCAAGTTCTTAGCTTTGGTTTGAAAGAGACCCCTGAAACCAGGAGCCAACCTTCTTTCATGTCCTATGTTTTCCTCCAGCTGGTAATATGCAAAAATCAAAGCGGCAGGGAGGTTGCCTCAAAGATGTCACTTTGGTTTAGAGAATATTGATCTAGTGTGTCACTAACGAAAGCACTAAGTACTTTTTGATATCTATATTTCATTTATCAAACATAAGTGTCAAAGATTCTTGGGGAGTGGAACTAGCTTTGCAAACATTTACATGACTGAAAAGTTCACCCTTCTAATTCGGCCAAAGTTTCTCAGTCCTCGAGTTAACTGAGAGTTTAGATCTGTAAATAAACACTCCCACCTCGTCATCATATGTGGTCCCGGGGCTGCATTATCAAGTTCGAACCACACTGTCCCACCATGCCAGCGTGTGCCTCGCCGAGGGGGTAAGACAACGCCAGGTCTAACTTTCCTGCCACCAGATGAAAGCGTGCGGTGTGGGGGAGACAGGGGGGCAGGAGGGGGCACATCCCAGGGCTCACCCAACACCTCGCCCCTCCAGCCACGCTCCTCACGTTGCGGCTCCCGACACCCCGTGGCAACCCTACCACAACAGCACATTGCCATGCAGCACCGGCCCCAGGCATCTCCTCCAGGGCCACCTCGCCCAGGTGTCCGCTCCGACTACTCCTCTTCACCACCACCACCACCACACCAAACCAGGACCAGCAAGGCAAGGGGAGGGGGAGTTACCTTGTTTTTGACCCCGCAGTGGCAGCAGACAGTCCACAGGTACTTGAGGGTCCTCCACAGCAGGATGATAAACAGTCCCCCAAAGAAAGTGACCATGGATGAGGCGAGGAAAGCCCACCACATGCGCTGTCCGCGGCTATCGCAGGGCACCTCCATGGTCACCGGGATGATGAGCGCATCCATCTTGGGCACATTGACGGGGGAGGAGGACGAGTCTGTGTTGAGATTGTTGGCGTTGATATTGTTACTCATTCTAATGCCGCCG